GGGGGGGAGGGAGGGAGGGAGGAGGAAGTGACGTAGCTTGCAGGTAGCGAGATGGGCCCTGGACCAGTTACTGAGTGATTACGACGATGAGGGGGCAGAATAGGAGCGAATCAATTCAGAACATTAGATTATTAACTCTATTTGGGCGACAACAACGGCAAAAACTCAAATCTCTCCTCCTCCCCACATGTTCACGCACTGTAGACCCGCGTCAGTCTCGTTCGTCTCCGCTTCCTCCTCTATCACCTCGGTCGCCAGGGTATCCGGGCCGGCTCGCTCCTCGTCCGCATCAAACTAAGTCCGAAGGGTCAGAAATAGAATCAGCCTCGTCCTCGTCCTCGTCCTCGTCCTCGTCCTCGTCCTCGTCCTCCAACTTCTCTTCCAGCTTACCTCCTGCTCTTGATCTGCCCTGACTTGAGCTCAAGCTCAGCTCTTTTTGACTGTCTTTCCTTCATCGTCTGCATGACCAGCGTCCGCTTGTCCTGCTGCATGTCAGATCCCCATCACAACGAGCAGAGCCAACGAACCCGCAGCTCCTTCTGCTTCGCCGTCAGGTACTCCTCCTCCAGTACCGCCTGTACCGACCGTCACTTCATGTGCGACCCCGAGCGCTTCCTCTGCTCCCTCACCTTCTGCTCTGCCAGTGCGTTGGCATGCTCAGCAAGGTCTGGTCGGTTGATCTCCCACGTCATTCTTTCCCGCGTCCGCAGCCTCCTGCCAGCAACGTCACGAGCTGCGATCGGGAAGCAGATGCCATGCCTCCTAGTCGCCTCACTCCACTGCTCTGGGTTCAGCTGGGTGGTGAAAGCGAACTTCTTGAAGACGTTCCCGGGTAGAGCTGACGCAGGGCGCTGCACCTGGCGAGAGGTCAAGGGCATGCCATGACATGAATGAGGAGGTGAACGAGTATGAGGATGAGGATGGGGAAGGGAGGAGGTGAACGAGGATGAGGATGAGGATAAGGAAGGGAGGATGAGGATGAGGATGGGAATAAGGAGTTGGAGTTGGAGAGTGGAGAGGAGGAAGATACCTCATGAAACTCATTCGCCTTCCACAGAGAACTCGTGGCTCGTCCCTGTGCTGATGCCTCCAGGTCTCTACCATGGATCTCCTTCTGGCAGGTGCCCTCATGCTCCTGAAGGTGCAGGGTAAGGATGGTCCTCGCTGCGAGCTCAGGCGCCACCTGGGTAGAAGTTTCGCCCGTTTCGGCTGAAAACACAATCAGCACGGCTCCTCTACTCGACGCCTCACGAACCTGTTCTGATATGTTGCGACAGCAATGCAGCATGCGCTGAGAAGGGGCGTTTCTGTGCGCGAGCAGTGAGCATCGACTCCAGCAGGCTCTTGTCTCCCTCACCTGTCTTGCTCGCATGTAGATCTCTATGTTCTTCATCTGCTGCTCTTGCAGCGCGTACCTACAAGGCAGCTCAGGAGACCGTCAGGCATGCACCCACCCTCCCGTACCTCCGTATACTCCTCTCACAGTTGACCCTCTCTATCCTGTCAATATGACTGACCAGCTCCTGCTCCATATGTCGCTGAACATGCTCTGCGTCCCATCCTCAGCAAAAGACAGGGAACGAGCGTCTATCTCACTGATATGCTCTTCTTGCCCCTTCATCACAGTCGGGGTTAAAACCAGATGCCTTGCGACCGAGTCAATATCAAATGGTATGATAGGATCGGTTGCCAACCTGCGTTCCGCCGGCATCCGCTCGAGGTCACTCCACAAGTTCCCGTTGGATCCGACGTGCATGTAGAACCTCCATGTCTTCTTCGGGAGCTGCTTGCACAGTCAAACAACCAGTGGCACTTCGTTGCGAGCACATTTTCCACTGGCGGCTTCTTCTGGATATTGAGCTTCTGGTTGTAGTACTCATCCTCCCTCTTCTTCTTCATCATCGTCTCAAACTACATGATACAGACAGTCATCACAAGATTCTCCTCGCACACCATCACAGAGGTCGCACCTCCTGTTTCAGCAGCGCGTTGGTGACATCAACTCCGGGGTTCATCCAAGGGGGCCCCTGATGGGGTCGGCTCACCCCCTATTCTGCCTCCTCTCTCCCGCATACCTTGAAGTCAGATGCCCTGGCTCCTATGTGACTTTGCGGTCTTGATCTCGAGTCCCTGACGTTGCCCCGTCAGCCAACAGCCCAAGTTCCTTCCCCAGGTCCCTTCCCCAAGTCCTATTTCAGCACCTTGTCTTGACGGAGTCCCTCCCTCCTTGAACGTTGGCGTCCTCCCCCTGTGTCATCGCTGCTCCTCCACGATGAATGGAATGAAAGATGCTGGTTCAGGATAAGAGTTAGAACCTTCCTGCTTGCGTGTTGACTCGATGATTGGATCAAGACAACATTGAGGTCTGCACATCCAAGAGTATCTGAGTACTGCTTGCATTTCGTTTGCTCACTCGTTGCATTCCATTAGCTGACGATGCAACTAGCATGTCTCAACGTTTGTCAAGGTCACACTACACCCACTAGAACATTTCTCGATCCTGCTCCTCCTCTCGCTCCTCCTCTCGCTATACACTCTTGAAGTTCGACGCAGTAGATGGAGCTTGAACCCGGTCAGCGCTGTCCCACCCACGTCTCTTAAGTGCCTCCTCTCAGTAGTTCAGCATCGTCCCTTCTCTCTCTCTCTCTCTCACCATAACCGCGAGCCCTCTACCTCTAGCATCGCATGTCTCTATCGCCATGGCTACAGTACCGAACTGTGGCCGTTGGAGCTGGACACCAGCAAGATGGTCGACCAGCATCCCTCATTTTTACTCAACAACTGAAGCCGTTGCCCACGAATGAAGGCTGCCTCAGAGGTTTAGATCAGGGAGCAAAGAGCAAACTAATCCAGGGCGATCGACAGGTTTGGCAAAACCCGGGTTTAGATGAACTAAACTAAGCCAGCTGTGAAGAGAACGAAAGCAGATTTCGGGCATGTACACACTTTATTCTTCAGCAATGAAAAATAAATGAGGTATTATTTGAAATATTGAAGAGCCGAGTTCAAATATGAGCTTGAAAATCGAGAAATCCCGTAGATGAAGATTTTCGGATGGAGGGGTAGTAATCAACCTATAACGGGGGTACAAGAAGGATATGGGTACGTGATACGCACCCAAGTGAGTTTTGCTTACGATAAATCAAGCAGTGCCGTTTTTTCATATATGAAGACTCGAAGAAAATCTTGTTACATGGGGATGGCCTTGGCGCCATTCTCTCATAGTAAAAGAAAATCACCCCCTACCCCCCACCTACTCTCAAGGGGTGCTGGTTCCTTTATGAAGACCGTAAGGACGTCCCTTGTTCCATGCTCTCCCCTGATACAGCAGCGAAAACGTTTCTCCGCTAGCTGTCTGATATCTCTCTCGCATTCTACCCCCACACCGCCTACTCTTGTTTAGGTTGCAGAAGGGCTCCTCCTCCTCTTCCATCCTCAGGGACACTCCCCTTCCCCGCAGATCCAGGTGAGCTTTCGTACAATCCCCTACCCTCCATCGCCCCCTTTGCGAGGAATCGGAGACCGTGTCTGATTTCCGCCCTCTCAAGGTTCGGCAAGTCGTCTAACCCTCTTGCAAATAGGATGCTGTACACGGTAAGACACCTCTCTGGCAGATACCTTGCAAGATACGGTTTGGTAGCTTACGCACGCTTTCCAGGTTCACTCTCGGACAGTTACGATGTTTCTCTTGGTGATCTGCTCGATCATCGGACTCTCATCAGCATTCTCGAATATTCCTCTCCTCAAACACGGAAGAGGACTCAACCTGCACACTACCGCATTGCGCTCTCGCCAAGCTGCGTTTCAGTTGGATACAGCCAAGGAGTCGAGCATGAAGCCGCTGAATGGGAACTTGTTGTCAAAAGTCAAGAACCATGCCAAGACATGGGCGAAGCTGTTCAAGTCTGCTCTTCTTGCACTAGTCTTCTTGTTCGGAAGCTCTGGGGTACTCCTCGGCTCTCCAAGTGTCTCCCATGCTGCCATCGAGGGCAAAAGCCACATTGACGGTGAGATATGAACTCTTTGTTGTCATGTTTGACGTGCGGGCTCAGCCATGATGATCAAGAAGAGACAAAGCCAGAGCAAGGCAGGAAAGAAGCTGCTGCTCATAGAAGCTGAGATGTCTCACATCCTACACGAGACCTTCAACAAGTGGGACCCTGAGGGTACCGGCGCCATCTCTCGTGAGGACCTTCGAAGTGCCCTGCTGTACCTCGAAGAGGAGAAGTACATCGAGCGCCTGATGACGATGGAGGAGATGGATGCGTTCCTGGTGGAGATGGACGCCGACGGCGACGGCATGATCCAGTTCGACGAGTTCAAGAACGCCGTCGAAGTGGTTGAGACGTCGGAGGGAGGATGGCACAAGGTGACCAGAGCTGACATCATGAAGCATGAAGTTCACGAGTACGGAGAGAAGTGGAAGAGCAAGCATCCCGCCGGCGTCCACTCCCTGTTCCAGACCATGGAGGTGCTCTCTGGATTTTTCTCGGTGCTGGTTGTCATCATACTGCCCATCTACTTTGTCTTTCCGTGGGAGCTCTTCAAGGTCACTGGCGCCTCGTCTCGATCCAGCAAGAGCCAGTGGCTGAAGAGGAGGAGGATAGCAGGCAAGCAAGCGGAGTTCTGGACTGGATGAGTGCGTGCGGAAGCGAGAGTGCGTGTGTTGAAAGTGAGACCGGCGTGTTGTGCCGTTAATTGAATGAAAGTGATCAACTATTTTTTGCCTTTTTGAGAACTGCTTGTCGTTCCTTCTTCAGCTTGTTACATTCTGCTTGCAACCCTTCTAGCTTGCTCTTCAGGAGCGCCTTGCGGGAATGCGGAACGACCCTGTTCTTTTTTGCCTCTACAGTCTTATCCCGATCGATTTTGTAGCGGACTGCCCACATCAAGATCCCCGAAATGATCACTATCAAGAACTGCACATACGTCAGTCTCCATCTTTCAGCCCCCTCCATCCTACCACAGCTGCGATTTGCGAAGCCCCCCCTGCTTGTACCTCGCCGGATACGTGAATCTTCCCCGCTGAGCCCATGGCCGGTGCCGTTCTGATAGCGCATGTCAGCATACAAGTGGATATGACTACACTGAAGTCGGTCTGTCGATCGCATGTTCAGCCCTACTTCGCATGATTGAAAAGCACGTAAACATTTCTAAAATCCTCCCACAATCTGCAGGATTGCTTGCCTATCTCAGATCTCGCTTCCTGCCCAAGGACCTCCTGCCCGTCCAAGGCTCCTCTTCACTGCTGTACCTGATCTTGCCTCTCTCTGCTCTTCCTTACTCTCAACCTATCCACATGTTGTTCAGTCTTCATGTACTCCGAGCATACGAAACTGGGAGCACACAGGACCGGTAGTTTTTGGAGAATCTGTCACATTTGAAAGGGTAGGGTGGTACTCATCAAAGTTAGCATGAAGGCTCGCAGCATGCGTCCCTCGGCCACAGGAGCTACTGCGCGAGGAGGGGAGGGAGGGAGCTGTGTGGGGGAGGAGAAAGGGGACAGGTGGAGGGAGGAACCATCAGATGAAGAGCAGCATGCGCAACGGGGTGTCTCAAGAGGTTGTTGGAGAGGTTTGGATGGACTGGAACGGAGAGGGCGGAAATCGAAACATGGGGAAATCAAGAAGTGCAGGGCCTCTCCTAGCACAGAGCTGAGGGCAGAGTAGCATGTGTACAAATTCAGCTTCAGAGCAGGGCAACGGATACTTGTGGTTGAAAGTGGTTGAGTGGTTGACGGAGGGCGGGGCGAGGAAGAGCGGGCGGGGGGGGGTATACCCTCCCTCTTATCAAGCGAAGTAACAAACGAGAACCATACTGACCTGACCTGCCCAGATTTTTGACTCTGAAACGTTCTCAAGGATACATCTCTCATGTCATCATCCACCGGAACATCGCTGTTCTTCGTGAAGCCGGTGCTCGGAACGGCTGCATGCTCGCTGCTTGATGACCTTCGCGCAGGCAACAAGGGTCGTGCTCCTGTGCGCACCGCAGATGAGGAAGCTCGGCGAGAAAGTATGCAGCCCTGCTGTCAGACTGATACCTGAGTGAGATGATCTGATCGCAATAGGTTGTACAACACACTAGAGGGGTCACGCTGGGAACCATCTCATGGAAGAAATTCCCAGACGGGTTCCCCAATATTTTTGTACACGATGTTGAGTCGATCAAGGTGCTGTAGAACACAGTATCCTGGCACGTGCTCTGAGCGATGCCTCTTTCCAGGGATGCCATGTTGTGTTCTTGTGCTGTTTCAGCAACGCCGGCGAGATTTTCGAGCAGATGAGTGTAAGTGGATGTTCATCACAAGATACGAGCTGTTGAAGTTGAAAGTGCACACCCTGAAATCTCAAATCCATCTGTTCTCCTCTTCTTACACAGCCTGATCAGCAGCTCTTGACATGATGATTGTAGGTACTTTGCTCCTTGCCGCAATACGCTCCCCACAGCATCAAGATCATCCTCCCATTCTTTCCGGTATGCTCCCGCACCAGGAAATCCTAGAGCCTCATCGCGAATCGCATGCAGGTGGGCACCATGGAGCGAGTGGATCAGGAAGGGGAGATAGCAACAGCGAGGACTCTTGCTAGGATTCTCTCGTCGGTCCCTCCATGTCGGTGAGTAGAACTGAGAACTCCACATTGTGTCCTCTGATAATTGTTGTAGTGGAGGACCCATGGATCTTGTAATCTACGATATACACGCGCTACAGGTTAAGGAGGGACTAAACAGCGATCTTCTCGTTGCTGACATGTTCGCAGGAGCGATTCTACTTCGGGGACAACGTTATACCTGTCTTGGAGAGGTCAAGTGCGTCATTTGGTACGGAGGATTCTGACCAAGATCGTCTCTCTCAGCGGGGTCACGCTGCTCCTACAAAAACTTGAGGCCGAGGCCCTCGAGAGGTGTTGTCTGGTTTGATTGCTCAAGTTCACTTGGCTGAGATCTCGCTCCAGGTTTGACACAACGAACAACAAGCCTCATTACTGGACAATTGCCTTCCCTGACATGGGAGCATACATGAGATATCACAGCATGTTCAAGTCTTTCGATACCGTGATCTGCATGAAAGTATTCGCGCATTGTTGCAAAAGCGTTTGGTCTTACATTGCTACCAAGGTTCGCACTGGCGACGAGAGAAAAATCACCGTCAAAGAAGGTTCTCGCATCTTAAATGCATAGGGAGTTGAAGTTTTCGTGGTCAGGGAATGCCAAGGGAAAGCATTGCGTACTTGTTGATGACCTGATACAATCTGGTGGAACTTTGATTGAGTGCGGCAAGGTACACAACCAGAATGTTGACCTGGAGACTTTTGATTGTTGTCTTCAGGCGTTGCTGGAGTTGGGAGCTGTATCAGTCAGCGCCTTCTGCACGCATGCAGTGAGTTCAAGCTCGTGACAGCTTTGTTGCTCCTCTCCCACACTCTCCCACTAGGTTTTCCCCAACGCCGCATACCGAAAGTTCCTCGGCGGCCCCTTTCAGAAGGTTTGGATCACAGATTCTTGCCCTTTGCAGGTATCCTATTCGCGCGTCCTTACGGAGGAACTCACCCACTCCTACAGGCGGAGCTTGTGAACGGCAAGGGGCCGTTTGAAGTCCTTTCTCTCGCTCCTCTCATCGCTAACGTGACCGTCTCCTCTCCTCACCTCCATGTTTGAATCGTTGACAGGTCATCGACATGGAGCCTTCCAAGGAGCAGCACGGACCTCGATTGTCCCGTCTCTAGACTCTCTCGACTGTTGACCCTGCCGGGACATCGTCTGCTGATGGACGTGGACTGGTGCAATCACCTCAGCCTTCGGGCTTGCCAGGCGCGTCCAGGCAGTATGGGACAGACCGACCGTTGCCAGACCTTGACCGAGGCTCACGGCGACCACACTGTACTACCGTAGTGAAACTGAGTCCTCGTCGGAACCGTAAGGCCGGGCTCAACATGATGAGCGGCACTGCGGCAAGTTCCGAAGTTCCAATTCTATGATGATTCACCGCCGGGGCGGCCCACACGGACTCCGGGAGGCTGTGACAGTCGGACGCACTCAGCACTGTACGGTCATGTATATACTATGAATAAGCCTCACTTTAGCCCGCATGGGAAGGGGCGGTGGCTCCGCGTGGATTTGTGGGAGGCTAGTACCAGCCAGTATTTGAGTTGCCGCAACTTAGTCACGGTCATCATGACGGTTACCGGCAATTAGCCTCCGGCACTGCCGGCCCGGCCTGCGTAGTAGCAGCCGGTGACCCGGCGCGGTCCGCCGACGCCGCCGGGGTCAGCAGCCCGGCTGACTCGTACGAACTTTCAGGCCTGAGGGCCCGCCGGCCGCCAGTCTGACGGAGGACCTTATAAAGGAAGGGTCAGCCCGTCAGCACTCCGCCTCAGAGAATCTGTCCTTACATTGTATTTTAAAAATGGAGATCGCAATCTCACGGCAGAGAATTCAGTGAAGGAACGTGAGTTCGCAGTGAATCCGTTACGGTAACAAAAGAAGGTTTTAACTGGTAATTACCATGACTACCACGCAACAGGGATATTGTACTAGCATCTTCTAAATCAATTTGTTTTCAAGATAAAATATTTTAAGTAAGTTTTATTGGTACTCACAAAATATTAGAGCCAGGAAAAACAATTATAGTATGCTTACTATCGTAACCCCTGCCACGGAAAATGGCAAGCGGAACGTGGCGGAGGAGGAGCATAATAAGAGAGGAAGAGTTTGGAAGCGCAAACAAACGTGTCTTAGTCGAGAAAATAGAATGATAGAGTGCACGATGTTACGATGCAGAACTAGTCATGTAGAGAGAAGATCACGATTTAGACAGCCCTGTAAGGTAGAAAGCGACAATAGCTAGCTGGAAGAAGAGTGCTGAATAAGAACCATATGCATAACACGATTGCGAAGCTCTTAGTTTGTGAGATAAGATTTAGTTTCTTTTTCGAGCAATTTTTTGTACAATCTTACGGTGTTGATTCTACCTTTATTTGTCGGGGATGGTAGTGTTCGTTGACAACAGGAGGCGTAATTATACGAAGACTTAGCCTCCTAAGAGCTTGCGCTCCGAAAGGCCAAGTCATCTGACCTAACCATGTTCTCAGATGAAGAGGACGTCAATGGTTTCTCCTCGGTCCTTGCTACGTCTTCTTCTCCTTGCTGTTGTTCGCCACTCTTTACAGCTGTCTCCTGTCCGACCCTTGACACCACCCCAGTCGATTCTCATGCCAGCATTCGTTACGACTCCATCGAGGGGTGTTGCCCACAGCCCAAGGAAAGGGGACATGTGTCGCCACATGATCCGTTCTGGCGGACATAGCAACAGGATGCTGAACATCCTGACGAGAGTGTCGATGAGCGGGGTCTCGAAAGAAGACGAGAAGCAGGGCGTCAAGAGTCCCTTGCAGCGAGCGGTGGACATCTGGAACATGCTCTTCCAACCATCGTTCAAGGTCTCTGTCCCTGTTGCGATCTTCTCGTGGCTCGTTGGCTCCGTTGTCCTTACCGGGGCCATGTTCGTCTCCCTGGTCTACTTCGTGCCGGAGCCGCAGATTCAGGAGCCCAGCTCGAGCGTTGTGGAGGACGTGGCTCTGTTTGAGCACATCCTCCGAGACATCGACACTGGATATGTGGAGAAAGTGTCGACGGAGAAGCTCTTTGAGACGGGAGTGAGAGCGATGCTGGGCTCCCTCGACCCATACACTGAGTTCGAGAACAACAAGGCTGCGGAGAACCTCCAGATTCAAACGTTTGGCACGTACGGAGGGGTTGGAGTGGGGCTTGCAGAGGATTGGAAGATCGGGCGTGACGGGAGGGAGAAGGAGACGAAAAGTTTCAGGGTCATGAATGCGCTTGAAGGGTACGCATACGATGCCGGTCTTCGGCCCGGAGATCACATCTTCAAAGTTGACGATGAGTATCTGGATGGAAAATCCATTGCCGATGTGACGAACCTGCTGAGAGGGAAGCCAGGGTCGGATGTGAGGGTTGCGTTCTACCGGGATGGGTTGGAGAAGCCGGGTGAGGTCGTCCTTCATCGAGATCAGATCCACATCAAGGACGTGTCGCTGGCAATGCGCATTGGCCCTTGGGCGGACTCGATCGGGTACATCCAGCTCAAGGGGTTCGCTGTCGACGCTGGCAGGGAAGTGAAGAATGCCTTGGAGCAACTCAAGGAAAGCACAGCCGACGGCAAGCTGAAGGCAGTTGTGCTCGACCTCCGCGGAAATCCTGGTGGCCTCCTGACCAGTGCGGTAGATGTTGCTGAGCAGTTTGTCCCCCGGGGATCTGTCATCGTCACTACCAAGGGAAGGGATGGGCCCGTATGGTCATACACGTCTCAGCGTGATCCTGTGCTCGATCCCAGCACCAAGGTGATCGTGTTGACAGACCGGCGCACGGCGTCGGCAGCTGAGATTGTTGCTGGCGCGATTCAGGACCATGACAGGGGCATCATCGTGGGGGAGAAGACGTTTGGGAAGGGGCTCGTTCAGCAGGTTGCCCACCTGCCCTACGATACTTCTCTCAAGTACACGGTCGCCAAGTACTACACGCCTAGCGGCCGATGCATCCAGAGCGTTAAATACCAGGAAGGAGGGGTGGAAGAGGCGAAGTTGGGTAGGTCAAGTGTGCCAGCTGGGCAGGGGTACGTGTCGAGGGTGGTCAAGGACGGGGAGAGGAAGGTATTCAAGACATCCAAGGGCCGGCTCGTAAGGGACGGAGGAGGGGTGGAACCGGATCTGATGATACCGGCACCCAGTCAGTCGGAGATCGAGCTGCAGTTGGTGGAGCAAGGCTCTTACCTCAACTTTGCAAGCAAGTGGGCGGTTGAACACCCGGATCTAGTCAACGAGAAGCTGATCTGGAAGGACAACGACATCGTCACGCCTCAGGTGTTCGACGAGTTCGTCAAGTACATCTCAGACAAGGTAGAGTACATCTCAGACTAGGATCCTCCCCCCCTTCCCCTCCCCCCCCCCTTCTCGTCTCCCTACCTGTGACTTTTTGTGTCTACCTGCCATGAGGACGAGTCTCATGCGGTTCGCAGAAGGAGAGCGGGTTCGAGCTCCGCACGAGGTTTGACGGAGCCATTCGCGAGCTGTCAGAAGCCGTGTCCCTCGGAGGCTTCCCGAAGCTCAAGGGCGAATTGGATCGCCTTCAGGAGATGGCTCACTCTGAGCTCTTGAGTGAGTAGGAGGGGGAGAGGAGGAGGAGGTAGAGAGGAGAAGGGGAGGTGAGCAGAAGGGGGAAGAGGAGGGGAGCGGCGTTTGGATCAAAGACTGAGATCAACATTGCAGGCAACATGATGGAGCATCGAGATTTGATCTCTCAGCGTATTGAGGATGCACTGAGGTCACTTGCCTCGTCGACTCGTCTCCTGTACTGAAGTCTCATCTACAGGGCAAGATGTGAACCAGAGACAGTCAGGATCGCTCACGCGCTGAGGGTAAGAAGACCTTTGCTACCTCTTCCCTTGCTCACAATTTCTGCAGCATGACCAGTACATCTCCAAGGCTACTGAGATTGCTCTCAACCCTCGTGCCTACGATTCGGTGATTCTGCTCTTGGCCTCGTGTTTCTCTCATGCTCCTTCAGTTTCTTTCAGAGGGTGTTGCCATCGCTCCGTCATCTCAAGATCATGTAAGATTCCAGCCTTCTATCTAACGCCTCTCCCTCTCCTCCTCGTTCCTCCCCCCTGGTCCCTTGATTGGATTCTGCTCTTCGTCCTCGTTTCCTCCCGACTGCATGACTGACTAGCAAGCAGAAGACAACTTCAGCGAGGCATCAACTGTCCGCGTCTGCAAGAAAGGCCAACGGCCATTACATGTAGCGCCCACCATCTGTATCATAGCCTGTCTTGTTGGACTTCCAATCCACCAAGTTGTACGTTAACGATTAGAATACAAAGATTTGCTCGTCATTGAATCCGGCCTTCTTCAAGAGTGGGATGCAAGTGTCGTCGATCATAACCGGAGGTCCGCAAAGGCACACGATCGTATCCGGCCCTGCAAGACAACCGGGTCAGAAGTTGGAGAACATCGAGCTCATTCAGCTCCAACATCTCTGACTCGAGATACAGGAAGTAGCTCCCTACCTGGTGCCGGCATGTGCTCGGCGATCATACCCTCGTTCACGTATCCGCTTCCAAACTTCCATCCTGTCAAAGGTTCACTGTCCCTCCCGCATCGACACCTGGCGACTTCACTTGCCTTCCGGAGTCTCGCGTGACAAAGTGTAGAAGCACTTGAAGCGATCGCCGTGCTCTTGAGCCCATCTGAGAGGCCCTCAGGAATCAGCAGGCAAGGAGCACTAATCAGAAACAGCATTACCTGTCAAGTTCTGCCCGGAGTAGAATATCCTCTTCCTTCTGATAAGCGGCGGTAAATTAGTGCTCGCTTGATTTCAAACATTCTGTCTACTTGGTTCGCGGAGATCAACCAGGAGCTTGTCTTGTCTTGCGGGTTGTCGAGAATAGCCTGCAAGGTCTGAGAGCAACAGCGTGTCAAGAGCGGAGGACAATACGAGCAGTCAACACCTGAAACGCGGGAGTGATGCCGCTGCCTCCACAGATGAACCCGAACTTCTTCACGGCCACTACGGAATTCGTTCACATCGTATCGTTCCATCTACGTTGATGCAGTACCATCTCTGCCATCGATGTTGCAAGTGCCATCCTTGTTATACCGAAACATCCCTTTTGGCCCAAACACATCAATAGTATCACCAACCTGATAGCAGACCTTGTGTCAGTCGGAATTCAATGTGCTGCAACCAGCGCACTTTGAGAGACTCGAGATACTGAGACATTTGGCCTCCTGGTGAGTTCTCCGTCCTGCAAATAACAGTGACCATTCCTTAATCTACTCAGTCTGTCTTGCCTTCTATAGACCTTGACAACCAGGTCAAAGTGTCCTGTAGCAGACTCTTTGCTGGTAGGCTTTCATACCATCGTCTCTCAGTTCAGCAGTTCACACAAAACAAAGCTTGATACCGTGTAGCTCCGGGAGACTGGGGAGCCATCTATCTCGGCAGTGATTCGGATGTGCTGACCGATAGGAAGGCCAAAACTCTGCGATGAAACGCGATGAGACAGTAGCCGAGAACCACCAGCTCCTCTGTTACCTTATCTGTGGGCAACGAGAATCGGAACAGGTAGGAATCTCGTGACAGGACAGTCCTCTCCTGTAGAGAGCAGACGAGAGCTTCATGCATCCCCTTAAGGCTGCCTTGAGGTCAGCGCTAGGAACGGATCATCATTCTCTCAAGAGCACGTACCACGTGGATGATTGTTCCACAGCAGTTGTGTCACTCAATTGCGTCTTCTGCTCGGTGGAAGAAGGTCCAACAAGATCTCCTATGTAGTACCTGCAGCAGATCAGATGCAAGATGAGCGCTTCATCGGAAGACCTCGAAAGCTGCTGCTTCGCAAAATCATCGTGCATGTCATCGAACTCGATCGAAACATCTTTTCCTGCTGATCTTTGCAGGGCCTGGACGTACATGCATGAATCTCTCCCCTATGCACATATCCCTCCAGCTCTCTCACCTGAAATCCTCCAGGATGGTCCTTGAACTCTCCAACTGAGTAAACCTTGCCATGGATCACGAACCAGATTTCAGGGTCCTTCGTGTGCTCAGCTACTTCCTTCATGGTTATCTGCCGGGGTTTTGCCGGAGGGTCATTCTTGATCGGATTTGCCATCTGATTGACAGGAGCAGGCTTGCCAGCATCTTGTTTCAGGGCCTGAGGAGTTTGCTGCTTTTGTTGCTTCGAAGCGCTTTCCTCTTTGCCTTGCAAGCATCCCATACTGTGAAAGTTGAGCTACGTGCATCTCAGTGAAAGAGAAAGAATGAGAAAGAACCAATCATCTTTTCTTGCCTGCCTGCCTGCCTGCCTGCCTGCCTGCCTGCCTGCCTGCCTGCCTGCCTGCCTGCCTGCCTGCCTGCCTGCCTGCCTGCCTGCCTGCCTGCCTGCCTGCCTGCCTGCCTGCCTGCCTGCCTGTAGCCATCGGAGAATCTCTCCGATCCTCCAGTCAGTCAAACTGTTCTTCTTCAAACTGTGCTGAATGTGTTTCATGGCTTTTTGTTTCCTCATCTTGTTTCCTTTATATTGTGTCCCATCCCATTCCCCATCTACCTTGCAGAACTTCTCACTCTCAACTATTCCTCCACCTCCCTCCCTCCCTCCCTCCCTCCCTCCCTCCCTCCTTGAATATCCATGCCTACTGCCACGGAAATTGCAGGGGACGCAACCTTCAGCAGTCATTTTCAGATCTGAGAAGTTTCAAGAGGAATCTACCATAGGGTGAAATTTATTTAATAAATTTGAAGTTTTCAAATACCAAAGTAAACTTTCAGTACTGATTTAGAATTGTGATGTTGGGTAGGGTTGTACATTGGAAAATGAGGGGTGGGGTCCCGGCAGTTTTTGTGGAGGGGGTTTGTTGCTTGATGAGGCAGATATGGCGCTAGGAAGCAATGGTGCGAGGAGGGAAAGGAAGGTAGAAGGGGGGTTGGATGCAGTGAAGTACATCAAGATGGATACTAGCATTGAAAGAGCCACGAGTGTTTTGTTCGAAGTTGATTGTTGTTTTCGAGGAAATGAAATGATTGTTGATCGCCGAACAGTTGAGGAATAGAATCTTTTCCTCGTAGCTCATCAGAAAGATATATGCAAGGATGAACGTAATAGAATTCAAGATCGAAATACATAGTAAATAGTATTGGTTTGATGTAGTCTTTTGAAAAGATGACCCAAATCGCCAACTTCCACTGATAAAGCTGAGTTCCACCAACCAAGGTTGGCACTTGTAGTTTGGAAAGCAATGCTCAAACACAATGATGTAGTCCAGTTACTGCCCTATAAAGTTTCTTTGGAATCGGATCTTTGTGAACAGGATTTGCATTGATCATTTCTTCTCAGATGGGAGGTGGAATATCATTGGTCACGATCAGTCTGCCGTCGGATCGCAACTCTGACAGTTTTACTGAAGTTGCGAATGGTGCGCTCTTTTTACAGTCTTGCCCACCGCTAAGATGTTGACAGTGATTGCTCCGCAAGCATTTGCCAGCCATATTGTTTCGCACTTCCAGGGATCGCAAGAAATGGTGCATGCGCGGGTTCACAACTTCCACCCTGCAGACTTGGTGCGTGCCATCATGCTCAGAGACTTGGAGAGAATTCGAAGCTCGTTCCTCAATGGTGGAGACTCCGATACAGACAGTCCCAGTGTGTACGAACTACTTCCGAGGGTGCGGAGGATGTCGGCCATCTTGGAGGGGCTGCTTCCTGCCCTCAGCGCTTTTCGGAGTCACATGTCTACGGAGGGGAATCTGCATAAGGTTCCCAAAGAGATAGTGGACTCGTTCGAAACAAGGACATGGAGACGGGAGCACAGTAGAGGGAAACTCGAATGCTACATTTGTCTGGAGGAATACGTTGAAGAGGAGGTACTGAGGAAGCTGCCCTGCAACCATGAGTTCCACTCCAAGTGCATCGATCGATGGCTGCTGGAGGTTCACCGGACATGCCCGTGCTGCCGACGGGTGGTGTATGAAGATGAGGACAACAGGACGACAGGGCAGACGGTTAATGCCTTGCAATCACCAGGTTCTCACAATCGAGAGAGAACGTTGAGACTATCAGGGGCGCTCAACCAGGAAGAGCTCGACCTTCAACAGCAATATGCAAGCTCAAGAGACCAGCTCTCAACGTCACTAGCCCAACTGCAAACCTTAAGACAAAGGCAGATGGAGCTAGACGTGCAGAGGAATCGTTTGGAGAATATCCAACAGGGTCTACAAGCTACCAGAAGCAGATTACAGTCTGAATTGGATGAACTAAGAAGGTCGCACGAGGGAAGCTTGGTCCCTGTTCAAAATGAGGACTCGCCTCTCGACCATGAAACTTCGTCATCTGATACCGAAGCTTCGCATCGTCCTGATTTACTGGTCAACAATGTGAACCTTCGATCGGATAGAAAGGAGGAAGAAAAGTCGTCTTCGCCTGCAAAATGTAAGCTCGTGACGAGTGATTCGAAGAAAAAGAAGATGGTTTTGAAGCAAAGCAAAGGTACGATGTTTTTAGCGGTGCTCCTTTTGGGCCCTGATCGATAGTTTCAGTTACAGACTCTGGAAATCAAGCAGCTGCCAGGACAAACACCCGAAGATCTCCGAAAATCGACAGCTTTACATTGCAACGCAACTCTATAAGGTAAACAGTGATGTTTCTATTTGATGTCAACTTGACGCATCACAGACGTCAAAACTCTACAGGAGATTCAAACGTGCCAAGGAGATCTTTCGTCGGAGCTTCTTGGCAGTATGCCCAACTTCGACGATGATGCAGCAACTACTGAAATCATCGGACTTGTTCTCTAACTTCAGACCAGCTTTACTTTGAACTTCTGCATCACTATGCTCTTTTAATTAAAAACGTGTCAAGGTTCAGAGTCCCGTTGGAGAATTGGAATGCAAAAATTTTGTACTCAAATGTAGATGAGACTCAATGGAGGTTGCAGTGGACAATGAGCTAACATTTGAATCTTTGAGGTCTCAGTTTAATGTACAAGTTTTCTCATTGAAGGTTGCAAAATCTCACAATTCAAACTTCACTCACAAAAGGGAAAGCGACGGTCTAGAGTCTAGTTTCATCGCCCAGAGCGTTCACAATCAGCTCGTGTCCCTCGATGAGCTCGATGGATGCCTTCAAGCTCTGCAGTTGCTTCCATTTTGGAGGCTGCCCAAAAACATCATTCCCACCAATCTTGATCGTTGTCCACGAGTCATCAATATTCAAGGATTCTTCGAATTGCTCCGAGCCGAAACCAATGTCATCGAAGCTATCTTGCTCGGCCGAGGTAGTAGAAATGTTCATGGATGACATACCAAGGCAAACATCGTACATGATCCAGTGGTGTGCAGGGAGTGTGCTGCGAGGACGAGGACAACCGATGGAACGCGGGGGTATTATGCGGGAGTTTCCCCCACCCTCAAGGGTCTTTTTAAGATGGGATACCGACTCAGGAAGGGGCTACAAATTGACTGCCTTTTGAACTTAGTGCTTCAATTAGATAATCTTTGGGGTTGCCAGGCAGGGTGAGGTTTCTTGATTAGCACGAAGAGGTTAAGTTGATGGTAGGGGGGGTCCGAAGAAAAACTCCTTGGTGGTATCGTGAGCCACTGATGACATCTCTAGTACACGGTCATAGCGGTGCCCTAGGATCTCCTATACCTGAGGCCACCTGAAGATACAGGCTTTACCAGGCTAAAACATTGTTGTTTTGTAAATTGAGTTGTAAGGAGTCGAAAAGTCTCCCGATGGGTCTAAAACCGCATCCCTTCGGTGCAGTCCCGGCAACTCTCCAACCCCCCGCATCGTTGACCGGAGCAAATCCTATACCTACCAAATTCGACAAATTTGTATTCGGGTAAATTTCAAAAGTTTACGGTTGTGTTGAATATTTACTCGAAATCTTGGACTTGCCCTTAAGACCGAGGCGGCCGGCATTCATGGCCCAGTCACGATACCTAAGATAGAAACGGTGATGAGTCACGCAAGTTCCGGGTGACGAAGGGTTGTTTGCCGCGCGGGGGACTTGTCCTGCGCGCCGTTAAGTGAAGGTATTAATTAAGTTTGGGGGACAGCAGTCGGCAGGATTAGGTTTGGTTCTCGCTGTCTTTTCTCTTCTCGCCGTTTGGCCAGTGCGACAGTGTCAGGGTCAAGCCTCCTCGACTCTCCTGATTGTCCTCGTACTGATTTTTAACTTAACTTTGAGTAAAGAAGTTGTTTGCCCAGTCAGATTACCGGGCCTACTCTCACTGAGTTGCCGGGCCTTCTGACCGTCCGATCGGACACAGCGGCATGGCCCGGGCTAGTGCCGGCAGGGCGAACGGGCCCCGGGGGATCCCTAGTCCCTGGAGGGGAAAGATGCGAGCGGCTGGCAGTGTTGAAGGCGAGCAGGGCGGAAGCTGCTGTTAGATCGTGAGGTTGTGCTGGAAGTCTGCTGGTGAATCAGCTATACACGGATACCTCCCAGGACATGCCAAACATGATAGGGAAGTCTCTGTTGACGGCTTTCACTTTGTGCGTAATGTCTGCATTACAACAGCAAATGGTGCACGCATTGTCCATGCTTAAAGCACCAACATCCCCAGGATTCCATAACACTCTGACAAGCTCTAGATTGATCTTTCCCTGTCAGCCTAGATCGAAATGCACAAATTTGCGACTGGATACTGGAGGTGAAAGGTTAAATGCCAGGTTGGGAAAAGTTTACGATGCTGGACTGGAATACGAGACAGAGCTTATGGCTGCTCGGATCTCTGACTCTCATATCCGGGCATTTGCTCGGGACGGAATTGTCCCACTTCGTAAGGTCATTGGGAAAGAATGGATCGACTTGATGAAGGAAGGAACTAGAAATGGACGAGCGGAGGATTGTGTAGAATCATTGTCGTTATTCGCAAAGAAAGGGCCATTGCGATCAGTTTCATGCCGATTGTTGAACTCTGCGAAGTCTCTCCTCGTATCATCATGGCTCTACAGTGATTTTGAATGTGATCGCGACTTTCAGCGACCAGAAATCGGGACAGAAGAAGTGATCAAGACGACGGTTGCTTTCTTTGTGCCTCTCGATAGCGTATCAGAGGATGAGAGCATCAAGGTTCTGCGCGGCAGCCATCTTTGGTCAGAAGATTCTTTCCCCAAAGGTCATCAAATCTCAGCAGACGTTTCCCAGCAGCTCAGCATCGGCGCAGACCTTGAGCCTGGAGATTGTGTTGCGTTCCATGGAAGAAGCGTCATGAACAAACATGTGAGGGAAGGGAGTGGCGGAGTCTTGGTAGCTTATGCAGCAGATACTGCCGACTCCAGTTGCAACCTAGAGGAGGTCTGGGAGGACAAGCTGTACGGGATGCGAGGAGAGACCCCGACAACAGTGGTCCAATGGAGCAAAGGGATTGCACCTCCAAATAAAGACTGGTATACCTGATCGCCATAGATGGTTTGGCGCCTGTTCTCTTCATAAAGCTAGAGCCATGAATTTTGTACATTCCCTGTCACTCGAAATAAAACCTGTGATATGTTCTCACCGCAGTCACGCCAGTAGGCAGTCATGCTCTGACACGATCCAGTCGGGCGGCTACCATATGAAGGATCAAACACTGTCCAAGCGGGGCCGGTAGTTTGAACCCGGCCTACCAGACAGAATCAGCGGTGCAGTGTCCACCCTGAAATTTCCTTGTCGGACTCAGTTCCAGTGACAGCGAGGCGGCGGAGCCCACCATGATCCGATTTCGCCTTTGCCATGAACTCTGTTCTCCGAGCTCGCTGGTATAGGGATGCGAAAACAAAGTGCGGACAACCTTGCAACTGCTTGGCTGAACTCGTGACAGGAAGCTCCTCACCGCTAGTACCTTCCAGCCAAGAGCTGAGAGCTAACGTCAAGCGCTCTGACCCTCTCAGTCGATCCTTTCGCCGCGGCAAGTACAGCATGGATCATGGCGACGTGTTACATGAGAGGACTCTAGAGGGTTTGTTTCAAAGCTCTATATTACAATTCGTTACCACAAAAAATCACAGCCTCCGTGTACTTGCTTGTGACAAGGTCTGCTACAAGGGCACAAAGCTGTGCTGTGACTCGCTTCCTTTTCGCTGTGATCAGGTCATAAGGGCGACTTAAAGCTGCATTCCTCCCCTAACGCATTGACGTATCCCCAGCTTCCCTCGATCATCTGGATCGCTCGCCGCAGGCTCTGAAGCTGCGCTTCCTTGGACCGGAGACTCCGCGAGTTGGCAGAGCATTTGTGGGGAAGCTGGTGATGGCTGCCTTGCGTGGACGTGCTTCGAGGAGCTGGGAAGGGCAAGAGCGTCTGATCAGGAGCGTCGTGGGGCATGGCGGGAGGCGTGGCGGGAAGCTGTATGAGGGACACAAACACGAGAAGGAGATATCAGAGGCAAAGGATCTCCAAGAAACGATGTATGTCAGGAGGATGAGAGGAGCGCAGAAGAAAGCTGGCGGGGATGGGCGTGGAAGGGGACGTACTTTGTGTGTGTATTTATGAGGGAAGGCAGGGGCGGCGCTGTTGGTTTTCGCGGTGCAGTAGATATTAGGAAGGCGCAGAGCGATCTCGAGCATGCAAAAAGTCCCAAGCGTCCGGTAAGAGGTCGTTTGCTGACAGCCAAGTCGTCAGCATCCGCAGCTGCGCATGTCGTACATACTACCGGGAACATACGGAGAAATCTCAACTCAGAGGAGTTCGGAGGCATATCACTGTCAGGCTCCTGCAGCAGTGGATCCAGTTCAGTTTGCTGACTGCTCCCGTGGTTGTTGAATCTCAACTCACAATGATTCGGCACCTCCTCCGAGGCAAAGTGGGTTTAGCTGACTGAGTCACGAGGACAGTAGACTCAGTCACAGCCTCCGCTCGGAGTCAGACAGGCTGACTGGCTCGCCAGCCCGGCCGCCGCCGCCGCGGGGCGGCTTCCTGGCGTGACCGTGACCGCCGGTCACCGAGCGGCCTCCTGAGTTGCCGTACTACCCATAGCGTTGCCGTTCCGTATCCTTGTCGGATCAGTCAACCAGGGTGGTTCTCATAGTAGTTTTAGTCAAATTCAAGCGGCAAGAGAAAATTGACCTAAAAATGTTTGCTCCGTCAATTTATGTACCTTTTTCGTTGCCAGGGCTGCCGGGCCATCCAAGACAAGAAGGGCAATGTTGAGCAAAACCTTCCTCTATTTGATATGAATAGGCGTGTATAGTTGACTAAATAATCATGAGGAGGCTCGGGGTAGGTATTCAAATGATTTGAATCTTTCCAACGGCCTCCAGCCCGTGTTGAGGGGTAGGGGGTAGTGCAAACTTCTCGTATCAATCTAAAACACTTGTAAACGACCTCACACTTGCCCCGGTCTCTTCCCTATCCCACTACTCCCAATGTACTCAGGGACTGTTTGCTCAGCTGCTGAGCGCAGTCAAGGACCATGGCCCCTCAATGCTAACTCCTGAAACTGCCAGGCAAGTACTGAGATCAAACAGCTCAATTCTTGGCTGAGAATCACACCTATAGTAGGTTGAATGTGTAAGGTATGCATCTCATCGAAATTTGCACTTGCGTACCAAAGCACTCATCAGCTATAGGTGATGGTTGTTCACTTCCAGAAGAAGGGAAACATGAAGGGAACCGATCAGAGAAGCAACCTTCGAAGACATGAAGGAAATTCGATTCTCCTTGTTGTGTTGACGCCCTAGCTTCCTTTACCTGAATGCTTCGTCGGTTGAATAAGAAACATATTTCAAGAGACTTCCTGTTGCTTTGCCATGATTGCGTTTTTTGAGGCTTCTCCCAACCTATTGTAATATGGCGGTGTCATTTGTGAGGAGGTGAGGAGTTTGAGAGGCTGGGGGAAGGAGAGGGGAGGGGTTTGAAGGGAAATGGACGCCTGGGAGGCCAGGCTAGTTGATATGCCTGATCGCTGCGAGAGGAGATGCCGGAGGAGAGACCGTGTTTACTCAAGACCACTAGCGAGGAAGGCAGGAGGGCGAGGAGGACATGAGAGGAGAGGAAGGAGAAAGCTACGGGTAGAGACGGTTTACTTGACAGCACTAATGAGGAAGGGATGCTTCAGAGCCTCCAGTGCTGTAATCCTCGTGCGGGGATCGATGTTGAGGCAGCAGTTGAGGAAGTCCCAGATCGCATGTTTCTCATCCACCTCCAGCCAGTCCTTGCATCCCGCATGCGCGCCCAGGGAGCTTGACAAGGTCCGCCATGTTTGCTTGAAACCGCGGGCATAGCTGAGATGCAGTTCCAATGGTGGAATCTGAATGACATCAAGTTAGCAACCTCAGGCCTCCCGCCACCATATCACCCTCATCCTCATCCTCTTGATACAACAACGCCGACGACAACAATTTTACCTTAACGTCGAGGAGCTTCCACACAGCATCCATGCTCTTGATGTACATGCGCAAGCTGCTCAGACAGTCAGACAAGCGCACTTCCAAGGTACACAAAGAGCGTACCCGTAGATCTCCATCGTTGCCGTGACTATGTCGTTATACTGGAACCATTGGAACTGTGTCGTGCGGCACAGCAGGGTAAGCAGTACTACCCCAGCAGCCCACACGTCCACTGCTGTGGTCTGGCACTGCATGCCCATGAGCACTTCGGGCGCTCGGTATCCCCGAGTTCCCGCGCGTTTGACTGGACGTTCGAATTTGACCCCTGAGTTCCTCACTGTCACCGATGCGTTCGTCTTGCTGACGCCCAACATGATCCGCCTCTTCGCCATCTCCTGCGCCATCTCTAGCTTCTCCTGCTCCTTTTGATTCCGCGAGGAGCGAGAGCTGGCCGTAGAAACCTCACAGGGCAAGATGTTGCCGATGCTGCGGCCTGATGACTGCATTTGTTTCTCTGCCAGCCCAAAGTCCACAAGCAAGTACTTCTTATTCCTTCTGTCATAGAGGAAGTTATTCAATTTCACGTCTCGATGTATAATAAATGTATAATGTATAAGACAGTTCTTGCTCAAGACCGAGTTTAACTAAGTAATGCACCGTGACTGTGACACGAAACCACTGAGAATTGAGGCCCAGCACTGCACATGAGAGACTCCCGACTGTATGCTAGAATATGAAACTCAAGCATCATTGCAACGCCGCCGCTGTTCCGATGACACGGACCGGGTACGGCCCGGTACCGCCGGGCATTGCCGCCGCGTGGGGCCGCCGCCTGGCTCGGAACTTGACTCTCACCGTTCAACGGTTGACTCACCGTGCGGCTACGGTAGCCTTGAAGCCTCAGAGGTCCCGGAGAGTCCGGCTCGCCCGGCCGGGCGGCGGTCGGACCGTACCTTGCCAGTTTTCAGCCTGTGTTCAATTAACTCAGCGGGGCTATCTGATCGGACTGGCCGCATGGCTGGCATGCTGATCCCGGCATTAATCATGGCAGCAGTGCCGACGGTGACACTCAGCGGCTGAGTGCCGCGCCGCCAGCCCGGCGCTGACCGTCAGTGCCACGGTGACTCGGCCCGGCTTCAAGAACCGTCACGGTGCCTGCTTGCCAGCGCCGGGGCGGCCCCGGTACTACGGTAGCCCGGTGAGTCACCGTGTGTCAGACACAACTTGAACAGTCGGAGGTCAACATAACTTAACATAACATGGCATGCCAGGCTTCAGTCGGAACTGCTCAGCGGCTTGGAACACTCAGTGCGCCCGAAATGATTCAGGGCCACAAAAAATATTTCACTGTGGAACAACTTGAAAATTGAGGGGGTGTTCGGCCTGAAATCTTTGTGCCAGTGTCACGCTCCTCCAAGTTTCAAGTTGTTCCATATCATATAGTATAGTTTGGAGCAAGTCCAACCTACATGGAACAACTTGAAAATTGAGGGGGTGTAAGAACTCGCCGCCGATAAGTTCTTGGAGACGGCGAGAAGTTCAGGGTATTGCGTCTCAGCATCGGTAGACGAAGCTCAGCGACTCAGATGGAAGTGGGCTTTGACATAGGTCTGGAATTAAGGAATCGACGAGCCTGAGCCTGGGTCTGGCAGTGAAAAGGGGGTGAGGAGGACACGAGTCCAGGGCGCTGTGCATTGTACTTGGCCCTGGCACTGGAGTCACGGTTGCAACTGCCAAGGGACTGAAGGGGAGGTGACTGCTGTGAATAAAGGAAGTGTTGGTGGTGTTGTGTGGTTCTTCTGAGAGTTCTATCATCATCAGTGAAGGTGTTAGAGACCGTACTGCACAGCTGTGTATCGTTGAGGTGAATAAGGTTGGGGTAAGGATCTCAGGTGTACTGAGAGATAGTCCGTTTGGTGGATCTTGGCCCGGTTAAATAGCCTGATAGAGTCTGGCCGGGCCAGTGAGGTGGAGGTTGATTCGATTAGCCGGGGGCGTTCGGCCTGAAATCTTTGTGTGTCACGCTCCCGGAGTCCAAGTTTCAAGTTGTTCCATATAGTTTGGAGCAAGTCCAACCTACATGGAACAACTTGATCGAAATTGAGGGGGTGTTCGGCCTGAAATCATTGTGTGTCACGCTCCTGCGGCCTGAAATCATTGTGTGTCACGCTCCTCCAAGTTTCAAGTTGTTCCATATAGTTTGGAGCAAGTCCAACCTATATTGAACAACTTGAAAATTGAGGGGGTGTTCGGCCTGAAATGCATTGTGTGTCACGCTCCTGCGGCCTGAAATCATTGTGTGTCACGCTCCTCCAAGTTTCAAGTTGTTCCATATAGTTTGGAGCAAGTCCAACCTACATGGAACAACTTGAAAATTGAGGGGGTGTTCGGCCTGAAATCATTGTGTGTCACGCTCCTGCGGACTGAAATCATTGTGTGTCACGCTCCTCCAAGTTTCAAGTTGTTCCATATAGTTTGGAGCAAGTCCAACCTACATGGAACAACTTGAAAATTGACATGGAACAACTTGAAAATTGAGGGGTGTTCGCCTGAAATCATTGTGTGTCACGCTCCCGGAGTCCAAGTTTCAAGTTGTTCCATATAGTTTGGAGCAAGTCCAACCTACATGGAACAACTTGAAAATTGAGGGGGTGTTCGGCCTGAAATCATTGTGTGTCACGCTCCTGCGGCCTGAAATCATTGTGTGTCACGCTCCTCCAAGTTTCAAGTTGTTCCATATAGTTTGGAGCAAGTCCAACCTACATGGAACAACTTGAAAATTGAGGGGGTGTTCGGCCTGAAATCATTGTGTGTCACGCTCCTGCGGCCTGAAATCATTGTGTGTCACGCTCCTCCAAGTTTCAAGTTGTTCCATATAGTTTGGAGCAAGTCCAACCTACATGGAACAACTTGAAAATTGAGGGGGTGTTCGGCCTGAAATCATTGTGTGTCACGCTCCTGCGGACTGAAATCATTGTGTCACGCTCCCATCGCAAGTCAGCTTTGATGGCCATTATGGCCTTCACAGGCGTGGCTGGCCCTCCGAAGCTCAATCATGATGCATCGCCAATACGATATCAAATATCAAAATAAAAAATATCAATGTTGAAAGTTTCCTGCCACTGTGAACTCTGCGAAGCCGTACAGATATGAGGATGTGCAGCGTTTGACAGAGCAAGACAAGTCAGGTGAGCATTATCTCTTTTTTTCATCGAAATTATCACGGGAAGAGATCCAAATGACGTGTTCTTGATGCAGGTTGGAATGATTTGCAGCCTTTGGCAACTTGTATGAGATTGATGAACGGGTGAAGACTTTGGCAAGTGCCCAACCAATATTACAAACCGGTATCCAGGAGTACGTAGACGTACCAGTAAGCCGCCCAGCATACAAAACTCTCGAGACAATGGCTGCATACGAAGGGGGTTTCGACACATCGCAGAACTGTCCCGATGTGAAAAGGTTGTGACATGAAATGGGCACAAACAAAGATAAGTTCAGGACTCGGGAGTCGATCAGGTCTAGGCAAAATATTGACATGGTCATCTCACTGCATGGAAGAACATGAAAAACTGAAGGAAAAGCTCAACGGAAAGTTCTAAATGAACAGATACAGCGCATTTTAGCAGTCACGGTCGGAGCAGCTCGATGCTTGAAACAAAGATGATCCTCAGTACAATCGAATGATGACAAGTAAGTCCCGTGGTTCGTGAAGGATTCTTCATCCAATTCTTAAGGATGTGTTGGAACGATGAAACATTTTGCAAATCACCAATTTCATCACACTGACTGATGCATCATGTAAATATTACTGGTGTGAACTTGCATCAGATTCTGTTCATCGGATTAGCCGCTACCAAGCAGTTGATGTCACAGCAAACAAGAGAGCCGTTTTGAAGATGTTGATATTCCTGACCGTAGAGCATTCAAGATGTGGCCACATGTCACATGCTTCTTGGTTAACGCAGATACACCCTCGCCAGGCAAAAGATGGAACGTCTTCAGGATTACAGGGAGGTCGGTTGTGCTTGTACCCTGATTGTAACTCTTCTAATAAAGATATGATAACCTGAATGTGCAATTCTGTTTGTTGATTCACAGTGTTTGCGACTCGATTGCAATCATCGAGTGCTTGCTCTGTTGAACAAGGCACTCCTCTGTAGAGCCATGCGACAAGAACACTACAGTTGCACGGTAGCATTGCGACACCAAGACAGGATTGATCCGATGAACGTCTCATTTATTGATATGCAAAGGCATCATCTGCACATTGCTTCATTTCTGACTAGGTTTCTGTGCAATCGAAATCCTGTGAAAATATCATGACAGAGGAAAAATTTGAAGCGAAACGGAAAAATCATCGAAATATGATCATAGATATAGTGATTCATGATCAACAACGGTTCTCTACAGTCATCTATGCGGGCAGGAACAGTCATCTTCTGTGCAAACGTCTCTTCATGTATCGTTGAACGGTTGAGTGCATGTAAGACTTGCCTCCATAGAAAGGTGAAGTGCATGAATCCTGACTGTAAGACTAGAAGAATTGAAAGCAAGTGATGACATGAGAACACATATCTAGACAGAAAAGTCGCTCAAGGTACAGCTGGATACAAATTTCTCACAAATCACAGTCATGCATTTGAGCGCAACGTGCAACCTACGGCAATTTGAATAAAGGGTCAATCAGAGTTGATTCTGTTCAATGGTGTATCGATTATCAATTCCTTACCTGATCATAAAAATTTCATCTTGTCTTCGAAGAATATTTGCAAGTACACCCGCGGATTGTTTGAACCTAGGGTGCATATTCCATTGCAGGATGGATGATTCAAACCTTGGCCCAACCTGTAGAGTTGAGAAAGAAGCTCGATCATCTCTTACAGGTATGATATGAGATCTTCATCTCATTTCTATCTCAGTTGGGTTGGATTCGAAGTCTCTCAATATCAAAGTTCATCCTGGTGAGTCAGGAAGGCACCATTTCATCGCTTCTTGCTCGTCCAGGGAGAGGGGGCTTGGGGAATGAGAAATGGGTGTTACCCCCACCCCCTATTGTAGAGTTTCAAACTGGATCAAAGGTGGGTAGTTGAGGGTGCTCCATACCCACCCCACCACCCAAAATGACTCAAACGGAGGGGTTCTCGGATCCGAAGGAGTCCCGCCTCCATCACCCCCTCTCATTTGAATTCAAGATGGTTCAGGCCGACCCCACATACAGGCTTGCAGTTTTCTTATGTATGCCCATATGATTTGATCGGACAGGCCCCAGGTTCAAGGGATGAAGCAATTCACCAGCATGCTTGAAGATTTTTCATGGGAGTGGGGTTATACTTGTACCGGATGTGTACAATACATAGGGGAGAACCTCGAATGGTACCAAAAGAGTACCAAAGTCACATGGTTCGGACTGTACTAACTGGTACCAAGAAATTGTACTCAAGAAGACCCTACCCCTGAAAAAGTTCTGCTTGGCTCTTCGTGATTTGAATTCGGAACACGGTCGGAAGACCCACCCCGCCCCCACATGAGGCGTGGTATGCGTGGATTTGAATCTACCACCCTCACCGCGAAACGTTTTAGAGCTCCAAGGTCAATTGAGAAAGGCAACGCTATGCGTAACTTGACTTTAAGCGCCTGACTGAAACCTCTGCCGACCGTCGGACTTCCGGGCGAGCCTCCGAGACTCCTTTCGTTAATTTCCACTCTTCTTTTCGAGAAAGTTTTTTTTGGGGTGGCGTGTGAATTCAAACAAGTTTTCAACGGCAGTGAGAGGCGGCCCGGCCCGGTACGGGTCACCGGGTGACGGTCGGTGGCTGAGTCCGAGGGTCGCCGGCCGGGGCGGCCCCCCGAAATGTTTTCAACATCGTACACGCCCGACTCATGTCTCCCCTACACGCCGGCACGTAGCACCAAAGCTGCTCCTCCAACGATGCCGCTGTAAGACCATCCGCTGCTGTAGCCAGCATCAGATCTCAGCATGCAAGGCTTTGTTAGGTTTGAAGCTCTCTAGTCAGCACAGTTTGAGACCTGAGACCGCTAGGTTCGTGGTGATGCGTTCGGTGACAACAGAGTGTGCAGCAATGGCGTTGTGAGATCCATGGTTCAAAAGGTTATTATGAAGAACAAGATGATGAAAACATGAGGTTTGAATCCAGTGTAGGAGATCGCTTGTCATTTTGACTTGACACCAACCTTATGGCAGAATAATCATAAGATACTTCCCTGCGATGAATGATTTTTGAATTGCATATTTTCCACATGCGATGCCTTGAAGATTTGTTTGATGGAGATTGCATCATGTTGCAGATTCACGTAATTAGTCAAGCTCACTTGTTATATTAGACATCAAGCATTGCATAGATTGTTTCACAAGATTTCTGCATGCATTTCGCCTACTGCAGTGAGGATGTTTGATTGCATGTAAACACTGATGCCGCCAGAGGCAATCAAGACATCTTAAGCCTTGAACACCGTCGAGAGTCTCCACTTCTGAGATTTGCAGAGTGTGTTGATTTCTTGATGCGTGGGATTAGTTTTGAGCGTTCATCTAGCTGTGATGTCGGACATTTGAACCGTCAACACAGTATGCACACATGTATTATTTGTTCTATTGTGAAATAAAGTGATCTCAGTCTTGCATTCGAGGCCATGCTAAAGAGCATTTCTGTATCTTCTTTCATTTAACATAAATGCAGAATGCATGCAGGGGTTGAATGATGATGAAAACATCGCTTCCCCTGTAGACCATTCCGACTCACTGTAAGCTTGGGATCGACATCACAAGTGGTAGTGATCTGATTGCAGAAATCTTTATACATTCATGAGGTATCATTCTTTGCAATAATCTAATTACAATGACAACCGCAAGTAGCATCAAATACATGCGCAATGGTCAGCACAATAAGCCTCACATTGGTTTCTTCGTTGTGCCTGCATAGCAGAGATACATCAAAAAGTTGCAAATAAACCTAATTATGCACAATGTATGCTTGTAGCTCTAGTAAGCCACATTGATTGCTGTAGGATTCTCATCCTGTGGTTGAAACAGACTTTCCATGTCGCCACAGCTACGTGGAGCATGTTGATCCTTGAGCATTTTGAATGCATGCTCAAGCAGAAATAATGTGAAGATGTTGCTTTTGAGGATCTGAACTGCAAATACTTGAATGTTTCTAGCATATTTGCAAGATTGGAGTGCATGAAAGCACCTCATTTGCAAACTGATGGTGCAGCATTGTAAACCATACTTCCTCTCTGAATCCTCATACATACGGCTCTCATGCTTGAAACAACGAATAAGGGAGCAGAAAAGGTGTATTCATCTTTTTCAATGTATTCTAAAGACATCTTCATTCCTAGACAGCTTTCTCTGTCATGCAGTCATGTAAGAGAAGCGGAATTCAAAACTTTCTTTCAAAGTCAGAGACTAAGAAAAGGTCTTAGTCTATCTACATGGATACATTAGACGATTAAATTCTCATCCACATTCAAGCAGCAATAGATTCGAAGCCTCTCACCATGATGACTTGTCGTTGCATGCGGGTGAAGGATCAAGCAGCCATCTCTTGCTTGCCCAGGGAGGGGGGATTTGGGGAAAGGAGAGTGGAGATAGCACCCTACCCCCTATTTCCCAATTTCAAACTCTTGAATCAAAGGGTAGATTTGTATTCTTTGCTAGCTACCCACCCCGCCTTTCGTAAAGGTGATGAAGGGGAACCGGGGGTATTGGCGTGGTGAGCTCCAACGGCAATCGAAATGCCTTCTTTTCCATTAGCACCCCCACGTACCGTGATACAGTGAAATGCACGGGTATGAGAGAATCTTTCGGTCCTCTACCCCTCCAGACAAAGGAAGTCACTAGGGTGGAGGCTGATTCGAGACGCCTGTCGAAATTACTTTAAAAGAATAGTACAGACTGTACCAGAGCCACTTCATCCGTACGTAGATGTGTACGATTGAAGCGCTGACTAAACAATTAAAATGAAGTGCTTCAAAAAGTAAGGCGGGGGACAGGGTACCACGCCAGTATAATTCAAATCACCCCACCCTACTTTATCCCTGTCTCACTACCCCCCAGTAATAGAGCAAAAACCGGGGTAGCTGAATGGAAGTGTATATATGAACCCCTTCCCAAGGAGAAAAAAAAAAGACCAATTTTGCTAGAGCCTGCATATGGCCTTGTGAACGGCATGCGAGCCTCCGAGACTCGGAGGCTCCGAGGCTCGGCCCGGGCCCAGGTCCGGTCCGATCAGTGCCACTGAGTACGGTACTATGACCGGGTAACTGACAGTGAGAGGCGGCCCGGCCCGGTACGGGTCACCGGGTGACGGTCGGTGGCTGAGTCCGAGGGTCGCCGGCCGGGGCGGCCCCCCGGGCGGACGGTGTTGTCACGCCGGACCGGGACGTCGGACAGGACGGTCCGAACAGGGCCGGGCCCGGCCGCTCAGTGGTACGGTACCTCCGAAACCGTGACCGTCCGATCACCCGGACTGTCCGATCGGCGGCCGGGGGCGCGGCGGTCACGGCCCCGGGAAGTGAGCCTGAGGCGGCACTGCCAGCACTGCCGCGTCCTCCGTCACCGTGGTGACACCGTCAGTGGCCGCGTGACTGGCCGGGCAGTGCCCAGTCACGGTACCCCGGCGGTCACGGCCGGTACCGTACGGTACCGGCACTGGCACTCGGCGGCCGCCGTGCCCGTGACTGCCAGTGACTGACTGGCCCAGTGGCATCGCGGCCCGGCTGGCAGTGTACAGGCGGCAAGTTCAGTCACTGAACTTCCCGGGATCCGGGCCGGTTCCAAGTTCACGGTTCCCAGATCATCGGATCGAACTTCGGAATTTCTCAGCAACCCGGGAAACTTGCTAACTTTTACTCAAAGTTAAGTAAAACCGTGAGTAAACAGCCCGTTCACCAGGAAGCATGTTGGTAGCAGGGATGAAGGGAGCAGGGAAGGGCGGGGGCGGGGCAGAGCAGACAAATGGAGGCAGGAAGAGAGAGGGGGAGGGGAGAGGGGGAAGGGAGGGGGGGGGGTAAGAGGAGGCGTCAAGGGAGAGAGCCGGTGTGAATCTGTGCCCTGACAATCAGTTTGCTTCCCCAGCCAACGAGATGGAACCGGGAAGATGCGCTTTATGCGGCCTGGGGCTAGAAGTAGGCGAGCTCAGGGACGAGGAATTGCGGTCCCTGCTCATCGGCAAAACATGTCCAGAGTGAGTTGCCTTCCCCGTTTGCTCTTCTCTTAGCTGAGACTTGCTGTAGTCGTGAGAATCCGAAGCAGCAGTTTCACCAAGGCTGCCTGCTGTGGAGTTTTGAGCTCAATGCGAGCGAGAAGATCAGCGCCGAACAAGTGCTGAGGGAAAAACCGGAAAATGCAGCCTCCCGTGTCATGTCGTCTTGCAAGGAGACGAGATGCTTCCTGTGTGACAAGACGAGGGCGTCCCTGAGGGTTCATAACAGGGAAAACCGCTTCGTTCACCTTCCCTGCGCGCACGAGAGTGATTATTTCCTCGTGGGAAGCTCAACACCCAAGAAGGTCATGGCTCCCGCTGACGACGGGAAGGTCTCCTCATACAGTGCCGATAGAGGGAGAGGAGGAGGTGATGGGGAGGAGGGGGAAGAGAACTTTGAGGACCCGATAGGGGCAGAGGCAGCACCCGGAGATGAAGAATATTCGAGCCAAGAGTCTCCAGAGCTGAGGCCCAAGGCTAGAGGTAAGCGGAAGAAGAAGAAAAAATCGTTTTTCGACGACGCTGCACAAGAGTACGAAGAGGAGCCTTTGGATGAAGGTGACATGGCGAAGTTTCGACGCAAGACAGCCAGACATGCGGATGATGAATCTGGAGAAGATGAACCCGATGATGGTGATAGTGGAAGCCAGGGAGAGAGAGAGGAGGAAGCGATGGAAGAGGGAGGTGGGTGGAACAACGATGAAGACTCCGAAGAGGGCGAGAAGGATGATGAACAGATTCACGATAACGTAGTACCGGACGAGGGTCAAGAGTGCATGGTCTGTGAACTTACATTCAGCAGAGATGAAAATATCATGCTTATATGCGACGGCTGTGATAGAGGATGCCATGCCTACTGCCTAGATCCGAACGGGGCGGAATGGGCTTTGAGGATGGAGCATTGGTACTGCGCAGATTGTCAGAAACAGGAAGAAGACAAAACGCCAAGAGCTGAGGGGAGCAGGGATCGGGTAAATTGCAGCCAGCTAAAGGGACGGTGGAGAGACTGACGTGCATGTATGAAACAGACAAGGGGGGTGGAGCATCCGAGCAAGAACGCCGCTGTCAAGTCACGAGTGAGTTGTTTGATGAGCTGCTCCTTTCCTCTCCCGCTCTTCCTCTCCCTGGCCCCTCTCCACCCCCTCTGCTCCCCTCCCCTCCCCTCCCTCCCCTCCCCTCCCCTC